ACTGCCAAGACCACGCCCAGAACCGGCGCTGCAAATGCGCGCTCTACCATAGGAACTGCAAGCAGACCTGAAAGCCGTGCCGGCAGTCGGTCAGCAAGTCCAGTGAAGGGCATTATCGGGCACAACGGCCCGACTGCAATTGAAGGAGGCACTGGTGTAAGGCCGCAGACTGCACCCGGCTCTGTAGCGCGGGACATGGGTCTGGGCGGTGGCGGAGACTGGATGCAGGTTCGTCGCGATGTCAACCGGTCAAACTCGCTGAGTCAACGAGAACGGGACGACAGAGCAGAGCGATGCGAGATGCATGACTTACCAGTTCTACGTCCCATTGATGAGCTTCACGACCTCGTGGAAGGTGACGAGAGTTTGGACGGCCTTCCGATCACAGAGCCGACCGACTTCAATCTACCAAACCTCCAGCTAGTTGACAAGAGTACTCGCTTCGTGCAGAATGTGCCGCCTATGATCAGTGCAGCATCGTTGGCTCAGAACTATGTCTGCCGACCGCATCGCAGCGATGTCCAGCGGTTGCGGGCCATTTTCACTTGGGTGTCGGAACGCATCACTTGGGAGGACGACTATGAAGGTAAGATTGATACCCGGCGAGCGATACAGACCAAGCGAGCATGCAGTGAGGAAATTGCATATGTTGTTCGCGATATGTGTAACGCTGTTGGCCTGCACTCTGAGGTCGTGCGCGGTTACCTCAAAACACCCGGCGAGTCTTTGGACCTGGACACAATTGCTCGTCCGAATCACTTCTGGAACGCTGTGATCGTCGATGGCGAATGGCGTATTATGGACTGTGCTCTTGCAAGTCCGACCCATCCTCGCCGGAGTGCTTACAGCGCTGCCAGTACACAAGTCGCTGAATCGTGGTACTTCCTTGCGAGACCAATAGAGATCTGCTATACGCATATACCTCTCTTGCCCGAACAGCAACATGTCGTACCACCAGTGGACCACCAGGTCCTGGTCGCTCTGCCATGTGCGTGTCCTGCGTACTTCAGGAACAATGTTGAAATGTTCAGCTTTGACACAAGCATGTTGCATCTGGAGAATCTCGAAATGACGCATCTCCATGTCAACGTACCGGAAGACGTCGAGTGTATTGCTGAGACAGAGGCACGAGGCTTTGCGCAGGATGGTGACGGAGATGTCTTTGAGACAGGCGAGATCGTCACCAAGAAAGCTTTCGCGCAGGCTGAGTGGATTGGAGGGCGGAAGCGCTTCACGATCAAAGCTTTGCTGCCTGGTGAAGAAGGACATGGCGTGCTCAAGATCTATGCCGGCAAACGCGGACTGATGCATTCGATCAAGGATAATCCGCACGCAATGGCTGTTGCGCTGCCACTCACTCACGCTGGGCAGAACCCGCCGTATGAGTTCGTGACACGTCACCCAACTCCTCACGCGCAGAGGCATGACCTTTACATTGCACAACCGCAATGCGGACGATTGACGCTGAACAACACGTTCGTGTTCTGCGTGCGGCAGCACCCATCGTCACTCTCTCGCTTTTCGCCTGATACTTGGGGCACGAACACCTCAACTAATGGTCGTCCTCAGAGCCCCAACCCTGCCAATATTGTCCGTCCGTCAAGCGCCATGAGCATGATCTCCATGAATGCCTCTCAAGTCGGCTCCAATTATGGGTCGGAGTCCGGCAGCTCAAACTCTGGTAGCGGCATGACAGCCGCTCAGCAGAAGCCCGCGAAGCTCGCCATCCAGTCTCCGAGCCAGAAGATCATCCGCCTGACAAGAAAGCAAGAGCATACTAGCCGGAATGTCGAAGAGGACATGGGTCTCACGACGAGTTGGGAGACTGTCATCAAGATTGGCGAGCGAGGCACTTGGAGAGGTCTTGTTCTCGCCGATCGCAGTGCGAGATGGTGCGTGTTTGCGGAGTGGGAGTGCGCTTAACGGAACTTATACCTTGTAATGAATGAAATGGATAGAGAAAAGGGCATTGTTGTACAATACAGGCTCGCGCTGGGATTAATGCATCGTTACACTGTAGATTAGCGCGGAGTTTTGGCGTCCTTCAAGATGACCAGATGCAATGATACAGAATCGTTTGAAGAGGTCATCCGTGAAATCTTGAAGGCCACACTATCTTGCTTGCAGTGCTGAGAGAGGAGCATCATACCTTATCCACCTCGGATCAGCTACGCTTTGCTTTTCCACGCCTTCGTGAGCTGCAGACATCTTTCCAAACTAATATGTTCTCATGAGTGTCCAACGCTCTATAGCTTTGACTGTGACTGAGCTGCGGGCGGCAATATGGCGATATCTTGAAACGCTACGTCCAGGAACTGCCACATAAAATGATACCTGCATTGTCAGTACGATGTGAAATTTCCGAATCTCGTGTGAAGGCCTACCGATCTGAGGCAAAGAATGGCTCTTCCAGTCCATGCTTGTTCGTGACTCGATGCCATGGTGCGCCAAATGCCCCTTTTTCAACCAGCATTGTCGTCTCGTCTGTCAGCATTTTCTTGTACTTCGGATCGCTCCCTCCTTTCAGGATTTTCTCGGCCATCATCCTTCGTACTGCAGTCTATGTAGAGGTCGATTTGTCCACCTTTACCCATGCTGGGTGACGAGAAGATTCGTGAGATGATAGGGTGAGGTGGTGTCGAGCGGCTCTGCTTGCGATGCGATCGAGCAGGGATCTTCAAATTGACTTCATCTCGTTCTTTCTCAAATTCTCCCTGCAGTCGTACAATTATTATTGTACGACAAGTCCTGGTAGCCTCTGTCGCTTATTATTAGGCCGCGAGGCATCTAGAACAACACCACCATCCACATCCCGGCGCGGCCGAACATGTCCTGCCAACTGTCGAGCGTCGAAGATGCTAGGTGATCCCTGCCCATTGCCTTTTTCGTCACCAATAACGACCAACTTCCATCGATTCGCACGTAACAACGCAGGCACCAGTTCTGCCTGCTCAGCAGCACCATGGACTCTTCAGTGACAGCAAGCAAGATCTGCAGTCATCCTGCAGCAAGCACAGCTTCACGCGGCGAATGTGTCGGCATAGAATACTGCTATGCACCACCAAGCAGCCTCATTCGTGCACACCCGCACCGCATATTGTCTGTCCCGAGTGCTCACTTTCGCTCACTCTTTGCTCGCTCGCTCCTCAGAGACATCACATCGTTGTGCTGGTCGGCTTCGCACGGGTCGGGTCATTGCACCAAATTTGCCTGCCTTTTCGCATACGTCCAAGTCGTCTGCTCCAACTTTGGCGCATCATCAAGCCGCGTCAAAATTGCAATTGCGCTCGTGTACAAGATTCCACGCTCAGGCTGAGATCGAGGAGCCCAAAGACGATGGGCAGCGTCGGGCGGTAAGCGTGCCACGTAAAACGTGCGCGTGCTCCAACCACCTTTTGCGCCCTTGGCGTTGCTGTGCTGAGTCCACACCTCCCACTTTCTCGTGCACTGATATATAGACCCGGGGGCAAACCCTGCCTCTGCCTGTCATCTAATCGAACCTCCGGGAACTTGTCATACTGTCACGACAAGGCAATCGCCTCCCTGCCCGGCTTCAGATCTCATTATACATATATCAAACATCGACATGGCCTCCACAGCAGAAGCAGTTGCAATCATTCCTATTGCTGGACCACCAATCCTCACGAGAAAGCTTCCGAAGAACAAAGTGGGCAGACCACGCTTCTCCATGCTCTTTGGCACTGTCATTAATAGTCCACAGCTCAAGCGAGGAGACAGTGCAAGTAGTGCCACGAGTGCCTACACCACTGCCAGCGAAGCCACTTCCGCCTCGACATCAGTCTTAGAATCCGTCGAGAGTGCTGCAACATCACCTACCATCACACCCGCCGTCGACTCAGAGACTTGCCCTCCCCTGGAAGAAGCCGACAGCACGCCCACCCCTCCAGCAGCAGACCAAGTCCCCGAAATCTGCCCTACCTGCAAAGCCAGAACTCTCAGCTCACACTCCGTCCCAGTCCTCCAAATGAAATCCACAACACCCTCAACCTCCCCCAAACCCCAAGCCGCCGCACCACTCAGCCCCACCCCACCAGAAACAGAAATCGACAAGATCACTCCTGTAACATCCCCCACCTCAACCACAGCCTCCCCGGAACACGGCAATGGCCATGGCCCCGAGATCAACGACAAAGCCACCAAAAAACATCCCCGACCCAAGCTCCAGCGCAACTTATCTTCCCTCTGGAAACTTCTGGACCCGCCGGATTTGAGGAACAAGACGGGTGTGCTGCACAATCTCGTCGAGCAGGACGTCATGGCTGAGAAGCATCAGAGGAAAGGCCAAGGCTCGCATGCGCGGAACAAGGAGAGTGTGGATTCGATTACTTTGAATGAGACTTTGGCGCATAAGGCTTACAGACGGTAAATGAACGAAATGGTGTGTCGAGGAAGGAATCGAGGGGAAGTTGAGAGAGAGAGAGAGAGAGAGAGAGAGAGAGAGAGAGAGATTGTTTGCATCTTTGCTGCGTTCATTAGCTCAGGTGTTTGAGGGAGGAGGGAAGCATGCATGCATAGTTATGGTCCTGACGGTCTTACATCAATCACATCACGGTCGAGCATATTTGTTCATTCATGAGAGGCATGACTTGTAATCATATAGTTTTATCGTTCTGGAATGGGAAGCAATCAACTGATCTCGTCCAACACTTATTCTTGCATTTCCATTCGATCCACCTTCCTGGTATCTAAGGTCCTCGAACACGTAAATCATCTTCTTTGAACGCCATGTCTCTCCAAAACTCAAAGAACGCCACCAGCGCCTATGCGCGATAGCGTACTGTACACAGAGCCATGTAGCGCCGCTAGAAGTAAGCATACCATAGTAGTCGAACATTCGCCGTGCCTTTGGCCGCAAAATTGAACACATCCCAGAAAGCAATCAGAATCAAGAACCAGCTCAGTCACTGTCGTCGCTATCGTCAGCGGCTGCCGACTCTCGCTTCTTCTTGGCTTCCTTCTTGGCCTTCTTCTTAGCCTTGCGCTCGGCCTTCTCTTCAGCTGTTTCACCGTCATGCTTGCGCTTCTTCTTCTCCTTCTTGACTTCCTTGGTGTCGAGCTCTCCGGCTGAAGCACCAGTAGCTGGGACGGCCTCGGCCATTTCCACATCTTCCTTCTTTGTCTGTGTGCTGCTCTTGCCGATGATGCCCTCCTTGACGGCGGCACCTTCTGCTGCTTGGGCTTCAGTCTTGGGTTGTATTCTGAGCTTTTCGCTGCCTTCAACGCCGTTAGTCTCGTTGAAGTCCTTGTACTCCTGCTTCCACGAAGCTGGAGTCGCTTCGTTTGGTCGTCCGAACTTGTCAAGCTTGCCGCTCTCCTTCATCTTCTTCTTCTCGGTGGCAATTGGTCCCATTCCCCATCTTCTTGGGTAGAGATCACGTTCCATAATACAGCGCTTGACCTTGGCAACGATACCATGATCGCATGAAGAGAGCTCGACAGTACTCATTTGTGCGATGGCAAGCGCAATGGCCTCGCCCTTGGTAGTGATGAGGACAACCTCTTCATGCACTTCAATACCTGATTCGTATCGTAGAAGGCCTGGAATCATGAGCTTGGCACCGTAGCAGACTGCATTGACTGCGGAGTCCTTGACGACAATGCGCTTGTAGGTGGTCAGCAGAGTTTCGAGGGGTTTAATGACAGTGCGGAGGTATGACTCGTCGCGCTGGTTATCGTAGAGCCACTGAGCATCGAGACAGTCATGTAGCGTGACCATGCCGTCCTGCTCGTCCATAGCACCGGATCGCACACGGCGAAGCTCTTGCATATGTCCACCAACACCAAGGAGAAGACCAAGATGTACGCAGAGAGTACGGATGTATGTACCAGCTTCGCAAGACACCCAGAACACGGCAAGCTGTCGGTCGTTGTCGAACTCCAGCAGCTTGCTCTCGTGGATGGTACGGATACGAAGCTGTCGCTTGACAGCAGAGATGAGCGGCGGTCGTTGGAAAAGCGCACCAGTGAGCGTCTCCAGGGCCCGTGCAAGCTGTGCCTGTCCACCTGGAAGCTTGTCGTGCAGTCGGAGAACGCAGACGTACTCCTTACCAGCACCCTGTTGACTCTTGACTAGTCTTGTTGCGCGGTCGACACAGACGATCAGACATCCTGTCACTTTGGGATCGAGAGTACCCGAGTGACCAGTCTTTTCCACGCGCAGTATGCGCTTCAGCCATGCGACGACTTCGTGCGAGGATGGGTTAGACGGCTTGTCGAGATTGATGACACCGGAGGAAATGTAGGACTTGAGGTCGCGCTTCAAAGGCGTGCAACCTGCTGGGATGGGTGTAAAGTGGCCGGTTCGGACCAGGACTGTGAGAGTATGTCAGTCTGCTGTCGAAATCGTGTGGCCCATTCCATCCTGCTCGCTGCTGGCGCTGGCGCTCCCATAGACATTCTATCTACGGCTGTGTACTTACGCTTGTCCCAATTCTTCAGAAGCAGCGGCCAGTCGCTGGTGTTGACATTGGGCGTTGCTGCCTCCGGCTTGATGATCTGCTCATCCTCCTCATCGACCTTCTTGACCATAGCCATTTTTGCTGTATCTGCGCTCCTTTTCAATTTTTTGGCAGTAGAAGTGAGCCTCCTCTTTAGAAATGTCCGGCTTGGTCAGCGTAGCCTGCCGCAATGCAGATGTTCTCTAGCAATGCGGTCAGGTTCCTGATTGTAGCCGATTTTGAAATAGCAATTGTATCCTTTGCTGGAGGTCGAGAGCTTGCGGCGAGAAATTCGAGAAGCTCATTTTTCGGATTAAGCTTTTCGGACTTCGGCAAGCTCTGATGCCTCAGGCCTTTGCCAAGAACTGATGCAGCGACGACGATCAACTTCCACCTTTCATCTTGAAGTTCCGTATCAGTACAGGCTGTCACTCTCATCTGAGCGTTGCAGGCAAGGAAAGCGTTATCTGCTCGGGCACTATTTCAAGGCCGTCAATCCAGAAGAACTTGGATCGCATTGTCTTCGTTGAAGAAGCAGGCTTCGGGGCCCCCGATCCTGAGATCTATCGAATCAGAAATATCGTGCGCAGTTTTGCACTAGAAGTCACAGCTGAAGGACGTCAAGAGAAGTAGCTTTTGCAAAGTGCATATTCTTTACAACGTATCTATCTACCGCAAATAAAAGAAATCTTTTTACAACCAATCATCCTGTCATATACATCATGGGTATCACTCGTCTAAACCTGGAAAGCTCTTGCCACAAGACTTGGCTTGTGACCCTCAGCATAGCTTGCTCGTCGCTCCTCGACATTGTGGGCATCGTTCTGGGCGATGATGTCCTCGCCAGTCTCTGGATGATCCATCATCGACTCGTTGTGTGGAGCAAAGCGATTGAACAGCCAGTAGAAGATACCTGCCGCAAAGAAAGAGTAAATGTAACCGATCGCGAACAAATGCTGACCGCCGATCGAAACACTCGTGGTACCATGACCTGCCTGGACAATGTTGTCGACGAAGCCAGGAAGTGGTGGAATGCAGCCGATGAAGAAAGCTAGGACCGCTCTCCAGTTGCTTGCGAGCTTGGGATGGTAGCGGTACATGCCGTGGAAGTTGTACATGTCTGGGACGGAGACATTGCCCCTGCGAACGATGAAGTAGTCGCAGATGAGAATGGAGGTCATTGGGCCCAAGAAGATGGTGTATCCGCCGAGGAAAGCAAGGAACTTGGCAGCCGACGCAAGAATCTTCCACGGGACGAAACCCCAGCTACCAATGAAGGCAGCAAGAATTTGACCACGGCGGATGTTAATGTACTTGGGACAGAACGCCATGAGATCATTTGCGGCACTGATCGAGTTGGCAGAAATGTTGATACCAAGAGTGACAATGATCAGACCGATGGCAGCGAAGGCAGCAGCAGCGCGGCTAGCGTGAGATCCAGATGCCATCCAGAGATTGATGATCTTGATTGGGTTCCACATCACCTCGCCGTACGCCGTCTGAGCGGAGGCAGCGGTGAAGATTCCAAGGAGGCCGACGATGGTGAAGATGATCGGAATGACGACGGCTTGCACATTTTGCGCGCTGGGCTTGTTGGCATATCGGGAGAAATCAGCAATGTTGAGACCCAGAGTGGCGTAGTTGCCCAAAACTCCGTTGAGGTTGGAGAAGAAAGCCCAGGCAAGGACTGAGCCGCTGACAGTGGTACCTTGAGTGATGACGGTGCTGTGATCGATGGTTCCGCCGGCCCTGCGAAGGGTGTCGCCGAAGACAGCCAAGAAGACAATCGGTGCAATCACAGACTTGAACGCGAAGAAGTATTGTACCTGATTCATGTCAGCGGAAGGGCTTCAGCCGATGTTTTGGGTGAAATGTACCTTCGTGTAAGGAATGCACAGGAACGGCAGCTGGAGCAGGAAGTAGAGCAAGAAGGCGACCATGCCAGCAGTCGTGATGCCCTCACCGTCTGCGATGTGGTTCGGGATGTTCGCAAAGCTGGGCCAGATTGCTGTGAGCAAAACCTCCATGCATTGGCCGCCTGTGGTAGTCTGGACACCGAGCCAGACAATGGCAAGTACGCAGCGCGAGAGGACAACGAAGTAACTGAAGTAGTATCCGAAAGGCATGCGCGCAAGGACCGGGAATGGAGTATGGAGAGTAGCACCCATGCGACCATTAATGGTAATCACGAGGCCCATGAGAGTGTTGCCGAGGACGCAGGCACCAATTGCCATCTTCCAGCTCAAACCAACTTTAATCATGGAGGAGGCTTTGAGGTGTCAGTTCTGTGCTGCACGCGTGATGCTTCAGACATCACATACCGACTTCCCAATTCGAGACAGCCCATGCATCAGCCATCCAGTATGCAACGTATGCGCCCCAATTCCATGTTCGCTTCGATGGTGGGATGGGGTCGAAGTCGGCATTGGAGGCGCTCTTGGTGGTTGCGAAAGAACTTGGCTCCTGACGGACCTCAAGGCTGAAGCCTGGGAGTCGGCTCCTGAGTTTGCCTACTTGGCCACTTCCGACATTCGGTTCAACCGCAGATGAAGCTGGAGAGGCCTGCTTCTCGCTGTAGAAGCCTTTATTGTCGCTCGCAGCCATTGTCGATAGTGATGGGCCGAGTGGGAAATGTTTCAGTCGTGCACACTAGGATCTTGTGCGATGCCGACAGCAGTATTTATCCACTCACGCGATGCCGTTGGTCGTCCCGACCGAGGAGATAAGATCAAGCAAAGGAAAGGCCTCTAGATGGCATGACACGGTAGAATGAGATGGCCGGCAAGATTTGCCCTCTCAACTGTCTGTGAATTTTGCAAGTCTCAAGATCGAGGCGTCAACTCACAATGCCTGGACTCTGTGCCTCTGCGCTCGAGAGATAAGGGCAGTGGGCGGAGACGGCCTATGAGGCGTAGAGCAGCCATAGCTAGCGCAATGATGCAGGGACCCATGTATGGTCGCGTGCGAACTGGCTCTAGCCATGTCAGCGTACAGAGTCTTATCAGTGTGGTGGGACGAAGGTGACGATGTGGGTGGCTGGCTGTTACTCGATTTGTTCGAGCAATCCGGCCAACGCTCCTCTCCACTCGTCAAACACAAGCTTGTCCAAGGTCAGTCGGCACTGTACCGGAACAGTGGTACCATTTCGACACTGAGAAGTAGAGTCTGGAGCTAGAGACGATGGGTCCAGCCTCGTCGCTGTTTGACGCATCTGCTTTGCATTTCTTTTGCTGTAGTCGTGTGCAAAACGCGAATTGACCACGCACTGTGATCGCATCGCTTAGCCTAGAGCCCCCGCGATATCAAAGAGAAAGTGTCGCCAGGGTCATCGTCATCGTACTCGCAATGATAATGCCTCTGTTATGGTCGCGGAGGGCCGCTGCAAGAGACTTCGCATGTTCTTGCTCGCCGTCGTGAAGGAGCCGTAGTAAGACTCCGCGGAAGACTGGCTGCTTTGACGTGCCGACGGCCGCCGATACGAGTCAGCCGAAAGCCTGACTGATGCTGGATAGTCCGTTGGAAAGGCCAGCAGGTGATGAAGGAGCTGGACTGAAGAAGCGGGTTGAAACTAAAGAAGATCGTTGACGGCCCACACAGTCGCGTGGCTCCCTTGTCTGTCTTGGCGACGACAAGCTGCCGGCGACCAGGTGAGTGCAAAACACTTCGAAAGTGCATGACAAAAAGTGAAAATGGCTATAATAGCCAACAGGAATTTGTCCAAATCGGGCTGCGTGGGGGTGTTTGTTTACTCCTATATATATACATCTTTCCGTCGCGTTCTTCCTCTCTCTAACATTAACCTCGCTACCGTAAGTTTCCTCCCTTTTACCGCTAATTTTGACGCGTAGGACGATATATATCGCAGACGCGGTATATATATTTCGCGTAGGGGTCCCTTTCCGGCATTTTGGCCGAGAAATTTGACCTCGCTGTCGCTGTTTTTGTCCGCCCCGCCCTCTACCCTCCCTACCCCCTCTACTCCGGGGCAAAGAATAGTAGGGGCCCCCGCTAGCCGAGACCGTCGGACGGCGGGGTCCCTCCGTAGGGAGGAACGACCGTAGGAAGGGGGGACCCGTCCGTAAGGTATACTCGAGGCGCAGGGGTGCTATTCTGCGCGAGATATAGGCCCCTTCCGCCGGAGGCTATTAGCATCTTTGTTGTCTAAAAAGTCGTCGTAAATGTGTGTTAAAAGTGTCGTATATGTCGTAAATTTCGTCCAATTCATTCATTCACGTAGCAGAAGCCTTCGAAGTGAACCCCCACGTAAGGCATCAAGGCTGTTGGCTATTATAGCCGTATCCCAAAAAGTACATTGTTGTCCTTGACTAGCGCTACACCGAACATGCCTCGCTGTCTGCTGTTTGCACGCGACCAAGCTTGCTGCTGCATGATTGCTGTACTCGCTTCAGTTTGTCAGGCCGGCGTTCCGTGGTGATGCAGACGAACCTTTTCCACATACCAGCTTCTCCTCCATTCACGTCAGATCCAAACATCGCAAAAGAGAAACACAGTCACCGAACGTCTACTTCGAGAACCACAACACGATCGCCGTCATGCCAGGCCGCTACCAACTCCTCGATTCCGACGAGCAGCGCCTGCCAGAAGGCATGACGAGAGTTGCCTACGATGCCGATACCCAGCAATATACATTTCGCGACACTGGAGGATCGCTGTGGTACAGCGAGGAAGGCAATCGTTATGGTCGCTTGCACCGGGACCCCGAAGCCGCTCTGCGATCGAGCACAGGTGTCCCTCCTAGTATCCGCAACCAAGACTGGAGATTCATGGCTCCTTGGTTTCTCATTGTGATTGTGGTTCTTATGGCGGTGTTTTGGCTCGTCAACTCTGGAGGCCGGCCAGGTGTCAAGTGCGCGGATGGATTGGAGACATACACTGTGAAGAAAGGGGATACTTGCTGGTCGATCGCGGATGAGCATGGGACGACAGTCGATGCTTTGAATATGGCAAACCCGAAGATGAGCTGCAACGAGCTGCTGCCTGCACAGATGATCTGTTTGCCGAAGTCGACATTTGAGGCTCAGAGAGTGGTCATGATCATCTAGGTGCTGCATTTGGCTCTTGCCGTTTCGCTGGACGACCACGGCTGCTTTCGGCAGGTGGACTTCACCAAGCTCAATTGAGCGAAGCAATCAGGCGTGGATAGGTAGCACAGCAATGATTTCTAGCAAGAGCTTCGGGTTGCCGATTCTCGCCCCACAGGCATCGCGCTTCTGTTATGCGCTGAATTGCGCAGGCGTTTGTGCAGTCCCGAAAGTAGACCGAGTTCACGCACCAATGGCATCGGACGCCCATTATATATGAACAATACCGGACAGGTCCACGACCATATATTCAATCTGGATACAAAACTGAAGCTCGAAGTTCGTATCGACAGCCCGAGACCACCCAAGATGACGCCAATCTTAAGCACTGCGACAGCTCGGAACGAAAGATGCGGTATAAGGTACTGCTACCAAGGCAAACCGTCGCTCTTGATCATGATCCCAGGAGGCGGCGGTGCAGGTGAGCCATAAGTTCCTTGTCTGCACCTTAGACGGACGTCAGTCGGGCCAAAGCCCAGTCTAGGTGCAGCGTGCAATGAACCCATCGCAACACGTTCGCCATGTCATTGCAGTCATGCGCGAACAGGACGAATCTTTTCGGCACCAGTGGTGGAGCCATTATTGCGCTCCATTTTGCCGCGACTCATCCAGAGCTGCTCGTTCGCGTGGTGGCTTACGAAGGACCCACCGCATCTCTATTGCCAGACGCTGATCAGCTACAAGAGATTGGCAATTCTTTTCCAGAACGACCCTTCGACATCACGTTCTCCCTGGAAGCCGTTGCTGGGTTTGAACTTGAGCATGAACCTTCTGCTCGGAAACTTTTGGGAGTCCTGGATGATCTTGAGGAGACTAGGAAGGCGGATTGGCCTCGCCATTGACTAGGCATATTGAATGCGAGCGCTTCTTTCAGGACGCAAGGGAGTTTCGGGACATCTGTGATCTCCGGCAGTTACTGATCTAGCCCTCTGTGGCTCACATGCATTGATCATTATCATATGACAGCGAGAACACCTCACTAACATGAAACTTGGCGGAACGGGCCGAGATCGAGTGTCACGCGCACATGCATGGTTGATCCCGCTCCCTGGTCTGCGCGCCCTAAGTCTTCTTCAGGATTCTTCAATCGAGCACCGAACACCATCACACGACCATCAACCTTTAGGTCGCTATGATGGCCGATAGCCACATTATGGCAGAGACTCCGCTTCCTAGTGATGGTTGGGAGACTGTTGTCCGACGACAGCGCAAGAGACCTGTTGACTCGAGCCCTGTCGATTCAACAGCACAAACAAACACTCGCCTACAATCCAAGACTATCGAAAAGTCCAGAGAGTCGAAAGCCTCTGAAGATGCACCACCCACTGTGACACCTGGCAGCGCAGAAAAGACTACACGACCTGGCAACGCAGACCCGCTAATACTGCGACCGCATCCTGAGGATCGAGTGTTTCAAGCAGTGCGCGCAGCTTTGATCGACTTCAATCGTCAAAGCCTGGTGCACTTTACGGACCCTACCCACGCACAGCCGATCACTACGGAGCCAACCAAATACTCCTGCAATGAATCGGATGTGGTAACAATTGGTATGAAGCACCGAGGGAAGGTCGTTCGTGAGCTGCAGTTCAAGCTCGTTCGCAGCCGTGACTGCGGATCTTACCAAACTGTCCTTCTTGTGGACCATGGAAGCGGCTGGCACAGCTTCCAGGACAAACTGAAAAGCAAACTCGCACCACCTGGTCTTGTCGAGCCAGGAGCTAGCGGCATCAACCAGCAACGGCAGTGGTGGGCCAAGAATGGCAAGACATTCTCGTTCCTGCGCTTGCCTGCAGAGCTTCGAGAGCAGGTCTACTGCGATGTACTTGGCCAGGACATGTATCCCCAAACTCATTACAAATTTGGGCGCGGCACCATGGCTAATGAAGGCGTCGAGCTGCGCAAGCTCGATCACACGGCCAAAAATGTACCTCCCTTCGACCTTGCTATCAAATACGCAAACCGGCAAATCAACGGAGAAGTTGAACACTTTCTATGGACTGGGACTCGAAAGTGTATGACGGACTGCTACAAACTCCATGGCTTTCTGCGTTATCGCTTCACCGACGTGCTTGGCTTCCACAGCCTCGCGAAACTAGAGCTTGACTTCCCTCATTTCGAATTCATCCTTTTGTTTAAGATCCCTCTGCGTCCATTCGAGCGCTTCGAGGACTTCGGCTATCAAGACCTGGCTGAACAGCTACGATGCCTCGATACCGTGAAGGAGCTTACGCTGAGATTCCATTCACCCTATGCGGCTAAGCTCGACGACCCATGGGGATACACTGGCAACTACAACATGTCAATGTGGTTTTGCGACTGGAATGGTCGGCGTGAAATCAATGGCTTCTCCACGTCCTGCAACAAGACCATGACTGACTGGATCGTCACCGGCGCGTTCGATACGATCAAGCACTTTCCGAAAGTCATCTTCGCCGGAGCCATCAAAGACAGCGTCAAGACGAAATGGGATCTTCGTCTCGCGGAATACAAGAGAGGAGAGAAGATTGACCTCTCCAACGACATGCAGGCCATGGCTTCATGGAATGGTGGCGCGCCACCCTGCTACTGCACCACACCGTGCGAATATCAGGGATACTCCAGGTATGCGCATTACGTCCGCTGCCGCTCCCTGGGCTGGTGCTGTGTCTATCCTCGATCGCGGTCGGAGGGTGCGGAAGAGGCTTTTTACAAGAGGCTTTCAGAGTACCGATTCGACTACAGAAATTGATACAGCTGGGCTTTCTGACGCAGTCACCTGGAAAGAAGCCAAAGCAATGCCATATCTTCAAGCCTGCATCAAGGAAGGTCTCCGGATCCATCCAGTTGTAGCCGTTCCTCTAGAGCAAGTCGTTCCCAAGGGAGGGCTCACGCTGTCCGGAACTTACTTTCCTGCAGGTACAATCATCGGATGCAGTCCGTTCGTCGTAGCTCGCGATGAGAAGCTGTTTCCTCATCCGGATACGTTTCGACCAGAGCGTTGGCTCGAAGCCAGTGGTCAAAATCTATTGGCGATGGAACGTGGTAGTCTAGCCTGGGGCAGCGGGAAGAGAGTCTGCATTGGAAAGAATGTTGCGATGCTGGAGATGTCAAAGCTGATACCGCAGCTACTAAGGAGGTACAGCTTGGAGCTAGAGAGGAATGTGGATAGAACGTCTTCCGTCAAGTCGTGGTTCACATGGATCCAGGACTTCGATGTGGTGGTCAAGAAGAGAGAAGCCCCGAGGTGAGACACTGCATCAGACCTTATAAGACTCAGCTCAGTGATCAATGGTCGGTGGAAGATGTCAAAAGCAAGATCCTCCCAACCAACCCTGAACTTGAACCAAAAGATCAGACATCGTGTTGTAATCGCAGTGGGTGAGCAAGGCAAAAAAGATATCTAGGTCGAGCCCGCTATAGTACTAGTTAGACATAACTCTTCGTAGGCTACAATAATCATCGGTGGTACTCACGAATCGAACCGGGGTTTCCAGAATCAGAATCTGAAGTGATAACCCCTACACTACTCAACCGAACTGAACGCTGATTGGATAAGCGGCAGCATATTTCTTTCGAATATGATAGTCAATATTGAAGTGTGCCGAAGTACCTCCTTGAAAGTCGGGCAGACTCCTCTCAGACATGACCTCCAAGGCTTTCGCTTTTGTCGACGTGGCAATATTTCCAGGTGTGCGGGCGCAGGCGGAAAGGGGGAAAGGCGGCATCCGCATCGTGAAGGTGGGGTCCATTGGAGGTTCTGCCTTCAGGAGTCGCTCTGCATCAGGCTGCGCCCCAAGTTGCTCTCCATGAAGGTTTGCATCACTACAAGGCCAGAGACATCGGAATGACACCGATCAGCAAACGATGCTGTGACATGCTGCTGACGCGGTCATCCAGGCGAGCTGCTTCAGGCGTCAATAATGCCAAGCCTCCAACCACAACACCGCATCATCCGACCAGCCGATCTTTCTTCCTTCCCATCTCACTCAGCACAATTAGCTCTCACTCTCCTGTGACCACAACACGTCGATACTGGCGGCAACTAGAGGGTGTCTGCATTCTTCGCCTGCCGACCTAACCGATTGACAGGAAAGAAACCACGCCAACCGAGAGCTCTTGCAGGGGAACCGGGCCGTGGTGGATGAGAAAAGGCTTGGATGGTGAAAGTAGCAGTACGAAAGATTCGGGACTGGAAGATGATGCAATCGCCGTAATGCTGCGTTGAAAAAGACGTCTTAAAAATATCAAAGTAAATACAATCTAATCGCTATGATACAGATCCAAATGAAACACACATCCGACGACCCCTATGCTTCCTTTCCCACCGAACGCCTTCCATCTTCCTGCCATATACCTCTACCTCTCCTACTTCTCCAACTTCAAAACATACTGCCTATGCGCACTCCGACACGCAATCTGATTATCCTTATCATTAAAATAACAATAATCGCCTTCATACAGACACTAAAATTCAAAAGCATCAGCACTTTCTTCCTTTCTTTCTTTCACTCACCCACAACATGCTCTACTCACCTGGTCATGTTCCGGACATCCAGCATCATGAAATTTCCCCATGAATTTGATTTTACATTTTCCTTTTTCGCAGCGGCCGTCGTAGGACATTGGTTCAGGCTATTGACGAAAAAAAAAACCATCGTCAATACTGGATGAACGAGTGTGGTAGAGAAGGAGGAGGAGGTCGACTCACAGCCTTCTGCTGCTCCGAAGCAAACACATGCGACCCCAAAACTCCAAAGAGGAGGAAAAGGAGTGGTGTCTTCATGAGTAATGGTTGGCTGGCCGCAACACGTTCTGAAAGTTCTTGATTGGTGAAGCAGTTCGTTCAACTTGTTTCCTATCTTCTTTTTCTTCTTCATAATGACAGCTTTCCTCACACACACAAGCGGCTCCTGATTCCGAAAATTCCATGAATTTCTTTCCTTTCCTTGACATGGGAGAACTGCTTTGACTTTGATTAGGAAGGGAAAGTTTGACTGGGATTGAACACGATGCGTTCGAACTCTATCTTGGCCACGAGCTGGTGATACATAAAATGGGTTGTAGGATTTCTGTGTCCTGCCTCATAAATAATTTGTAAGGGCTGCATCATCGGATCATGATCGGGATGACTGGTCGTCAGTCTCAAAGGTTTCACTTCTGATGCCAAGAGCTTCACCGATTGCCATGTTGCATGTCGGGAGGAATGGTGAACCGACCATGTGAGAAATGATTAAGTCATATCTTCACGATCTCGCGAAGCAGTCATGTCATGCTTTTAGCTTTTGTCTATGCCTTCTAGTTCATTCTTCATTCCACCCCAACAATGCCGCATTTGCCGGATCAGGCGAATCAGCACCCATCATGGTCGTGGCGCATGCTCGCTGGCACGCCAAGCCGATGGAGATGGGCGAGGATTGTTCAGTCCCGCCTTCTCTTGACCATTTGCTTGTGCTTCGCGATCCCTCTCGGCCCATTCCCTCGGGAAGAAGCGACGTGACTGTAGCAAAGTCAGCATCACTGCGGTCCAGAATTCACCTATGCGACTATGCTTACCATTTGTTCCAGGGTCAGTATACCGTCGTCCGCCTAAGCCACGGTCTTCTCCTTGAGCTCAATGCCATATCCATCAAGCAGTCTCTTGCGGATGGGCTCGGCAAGCTCTGGAGTGACAGGGGCGAGAATGCCCTTGTCTTTGATAGTGCCATCGAGAACAGCCAAGACAGCGACAGCGCAAGGAATGCCAACCAGCTTGGCCATGGCGCTGTAGCCGCCGCTTCCCTCAGGCTCACCGTATTCCGCAAGAGTGGATGTGCGAGTCTCCTTTCTGCCATCTCTCCACTCGATGTCGAACTTGTGCTGCAGAATGACAAAGTCACGCTCACCCTTCTCGTATTGCTGCTTCTTCTCGAGAGTTGCGCAGAGGGTGTCCAAAGGTGTGCCGCGTGGATCGATCTTGTCATCGCTGAAGAGACCATACCAGCGGAGACCAGCGATGACCCGGTCCTTCTCATCGTTGTCCTTGAACTTCGTCTTGGATTTAACGGCCCAGACAAGGTCCTGTTCCGAAGCGCTGGAGGATCCAACAATCTTTGCAGAAGCCTCGTTCCATGGAATTGGCTGCTTGAGGTAGTCTTGCTCGTCCTCGCTGAGGAATCCGAGAAGCTGGAAAGTGCGCACAATAGTTGGGTTGCCTTGGTAGCGAAGGGTTCCACGAATGATAGTCTGTGCCTCTGGAATGTTGTATCGCTCCTTGTAGGGAGTGCTGTCACGGTTCGGGTATGCCTCGAATGCAAAGCCAGGGTAGATGAAGTAAGGCTTGGCAGTGCTCATCAAGTCGCCTGGTGGAGAAGTTTCCTCCTTTCCGTCCTTGTAGTAGATGGCGGTGTTTCGGGCAGCGAGGAGAACACCACGAGGCGACCAAGAGAATTTGTAGCCAAGAGGATTGTCAGAGTTCTCTGGGGCTGGAAGGCCACCGCAGTAGGACCAGAAGCCGTTGATCTTGCCGCCTTGCTCATGGACTTCAGTGATGGTCTTCACGGCGTAAAGGTGGTCAAGACCTGGATCCAGACCAATCTCGTTGAAAACAGTGATGCCAGCCTCCTTGGCCTCCTCGTCAAGAGCCATCATGGCATCAGAGACGTAGGAAGTGGTGACAACATTCCTCTTAGCCTTGATGGCGGCCTTGATGACATCGGCGTGGAAGGTGTATGGGATGAGGGAAATGACAAGATCATGCTCCGCGATGGCCTTCTGCAGAGCACCGGTGTCCTTCACATCGATGGAAGTAGCAGTGGCATGTTTGAGGCCCTCGCCAAGCTTCTCCGCGCTTTCGAGAGTACGGCAAGCTGGTTCACATCAGCATTGACATGATGGTGAGGGGCGGTTGATGATGCCCATGCCCTACCAACAGTGACGTGAACACCAGCCTTGTCAAGCTCGACGGCGGTCGGACGTGTGACGAAGCCAGCTCCGAGGAGCAGGACCTTCCTGTTTGCAGGATTAGTGTATGTGGCCCTGGTGCACGAACGACGCACGCTACTCACGAGAACATGGTTGTGTTGGAGACAGATGTATCAATTGGTGAGGTGTGTCCTGTCACGCTTTATGGTTTTGTGGTACTGGAAGTGGGAGTATGTTCGGTATCCAGTACCGGCGGTGTCTTTGTCTTGATGTACAGAAATGTCGAAACTCAACTCCGATGACGGAAGTCGCATTGGCAAGGCAACAAGGCCAACATCGTGCAATAAAAGAGCCGCACTGAGCTTGGCAGGTGCGGTCGGGGTTTATCACGCACAGCGCAGTGGATTACTTACGTAATACTGCATTGCCGGCGGTTGAATTGGCTTCGTTGATTGCCTATATTCTATCTCTTCTATAGTCTAAAATACAGTATAGAAAATTCTTTAAGCTAAGAAGTTACGTGCCTATTATATAACTAAGCTATAAAACCCCTAGAACAATAGTAGCGAACAATTAGAGACGAAGGGAAGATAGTTAAGAAGGAAGGGAGGACGAATAGAAAGCACTATATACTAGGGTAGAGGAGGTACTAAAGGCGGAAGATAGAAGAACCCCTAAGAGGGCATATAGGATAATAATCTTAGAACTCCTTAGAGGGCTAAAAGCAATCTATAACTAGGCAAGCTACGTAATTATAAGGGTAGCTAATACAGTCGTAGTAAAGATTACGAAGAAACAATAAGAGATAAGCCTAAACTACCGTACCTAGGTAGTAGTAGCTAGTTAGGAGGCGCTAAAACCCCCGAGGATAGTAGTTAGAGTCTATATTACGGACCTATAGGAGTAAAAGGAAATCTAAGGACTTATAGGGAAAGAGATTGTAGAAAGAATTACAGTTAAAGAGGTAATTAGGGCTAGGAACGAAGGTAAAGGGGTAATTAAGCTATTTATAATATAAGAGTAGGACAAAAAGAAGCTAGAAATATAAAAAGAATAGACAACTAAGATAGGGAAAATAGCAAAGGTCTCCTAATAGCAATTTATAATTATAGCCTATAGTATAATAAGAAGCTTTAAGGAAGAATAGGATATTAAGAGCCTATAGAGACAAAACTAAGCTATATGCCTAGGCCTAAAGATTACAAAAGTAGTATAGATTAAAAGGAAAATCGAAGAGACTAAGAAGCAGTCTTCCCTAATTATCTAGGTAGGGAGTACAGAGTAAGCTAATATAGTGCTAGACTAGGGGTTGTTCTAGGACTTTAAAAGATTAGAAATAGAGATATATAGAAGCAACTATAGGATAATGTAATGCTTCAAATATTAACACTATAGACACTTAGCAGCTAAGTATATAAAGACAACTAATACCTACTCCTATTATATAGGGGATTACTAGGTCAAAGAATATAAAGTATACAAGGGAGAAGCAAGATATATATATTGCACTAAAAGACACCCCTCTTAGGCGAAGGAATGCCTAGTAAGAATATAGGCAGCTAGGAAGGCAAAGGAAGCTAGAATCAATATACTAAAAAGATATATAATAAGCTAGGGCAGCTAGGTATAGAAGCAACCTAGCTAAGTGCTACAAAAGAGGTCTAGACAAGATAATAGGTTTACATTTAGGGCCTTACTAGCATAAGAGAGTTACTAGCAACTAGGGAGACTAAGATACTTTAATATTATAGGAAAGGAAGTAGGATAGACAAAGCTTAGTCAAATATTAGTCTAAAGTAAGGGAAGACTAAAGGAAAACTTATAGGGAAATGATATAGATAAAACCTAATAAACATTGCAATATTACTAAATATTATATAGTACAATATTAATAAGAGTAAAGACAAGGTATAGAGGAGCTTCCTTTAAGTACTAAACCTAAAAGAACATTACATTATTGCAATCTAAGAGCCCTAGCTCAACCTATATATAAAGAGACTAGTAATAGTTAAAGACCTAAGATACTACCTAATTATCTATAACTAGGGAGCCCTAAGGACATACATCTATATTAGTAAGGAAATAGATACAGAAACCTAGTAGGCTATACTATAGGAGGATAGGGACCTAATATTAGTTTAAGTAGAGACATCCTAAGGTACACTCTAAATCTACTATATATACAACCTACTACTAGACTTAAGAAGCAGCACCTAACTAAAAACCCTAGAAAGACTACCTAGAGTTATCTAGGGGAATACCTACTAAATCCTACTTAGGGATTTCAACCTCTACTACCCCCTTTAGGGCTTAGACTTTACCCTAGCTTACTACTTCCTAGTAGGAAGACTAATTGATATATTAGAGAGGGAAGGAATAGAAATTGTTACCCTAAAGGGACTAATTACTTAGGAGGCAAAAGGAAGCAGTAGTATACTAGACCTATGCTTTATATTATACTAGATTAGGAACAGGATTATAAGATGTAGGGTTAACTAGGAACTAGAAGAATTATTAGACTACTTCCCGGTATAGATTAAGCTAAATGTCTAAGCCAATTAGGAAAGGGAACTAGAGGAGAAGCTTAACTAGAAAGGTGCCTAATAGGGCAGGATTAGGGAGGAACTAGAAAGGGACCTAAAACTAGAGGAACTCTTAACAAAGCACCTACTAAGGCTAGAGGACATTAATAAGGCAGTAGAAGAACTAATAGGAATCCTAAAATAGGTAGCTAGAAAGTATACCCTAGTAAAGAAACATTTATAGTACTAGCAACTATACTAGACTAGCGAGTATACAAGGAAGGTTAAAGTAGCAAGGAAGGCTAGGAGGCAGTAGACACAAACCTATACCTAGGAAGTATAGGACAACTATAATAAAGCCTACTAGGAAAAGAAGATCTAGATTAAGAAGGATAAGATATAAGAATAGAGATCTATAATAGGAATAATTATAAAGAAACTAGAGGAGATATAGAGGATAGCTAAATAGGCAAGGAGACCTAAACAGGATAAGGATATACTACTATAATTCCCGGACATTATAGACTAATAAGGACAAATGCAGACTATAATAGAAGGGAAAGCAAGAGCCCTAGGCTAATACTTCTTCTATAGAAAAGTACAAGCAGACCTATTAGATATAAAGGAGAAAGAATAAGAGACTCTACTACTAGGCATACTAAGAGACACCTAGGTCAAACCCGAAACTATTAAAAGGATCCTAAAGAAAATTCTAGGCAATAAGGCACTAGGAGAAGACAAGATCTATAACAAACTTCTAAAAGTATATAGGAAGGGGCTAGCCCTAGCACTAGCTAATATCTTTTTATAAAGCCTAGCACTAGGACACTACCTAAGACTATTTAGGAAGTCCCTAACAGTAGTGCTAAGGAAGCCCTAGAAGGAAGACTATATACAGCTTAAGGCCTATAGACTAATAGCCCTACTTAATATAATAGGCAAGGTACTAGAAAAAATTGTCGCTAAAAGGCTAATAACCTTTACCGAAGAAAGGAATATCCTTCCTAAAGGCTAGATAGGAGGAAGAAAGAAGAGGTTAATACTAATAGCTATAGAACTAATTACAGAACAGATCAAGCATATCTAGCACTATAGTTAAAACTAGGTAGCAACCCTCCTCTCCCTTAATATCTTAGGAGCCTTTAACAATATCTCCTATAAAAGGCTCCTATATATACTTAAACAGAAAGCTATACTAAACTAGATAGTCCAATTTATCTAGTCCTTCCTATAGGAAAGATTAACACAGCTTATCCTAGGCAAATTCAAATTAGACCTAATACTAACTAAAAAGGGAATCCCCTAAGGATTAACACTCTCCCTAATCCTCTTCCTTATCTTTATAGCAGACCTACTCCTACTCCTAGAATCAAAAAACATATTAGCATTAGGGTTTATAGATAACACAAACATCCTAGCCTAGTCTAAGATAATAGAAACTAACTACAAGATCCTAGAAGAGAAGCACTAGGAGTATAAAAAATAGGTAAGGAGGTATAGAGCAAAATTCGCCTTAGAAAAGTACTAGCTTATCTACTTTAGTAGGGCTAAGTCAACCTATAATATAAAGCAATCAATTACTATCTAAGGCTTTAAAACCTAACTATTAGCAGAGCTTAGGGTACTAGGGATCTAGCTAGATCTAAAACTGAATTAGGGACTATAAGTAAAGAAGGTAAAGCAGAGGGCAGATGCTAATATGCAATCTATTAATAGGCTTATAGCCTCTATATAGGGGGCTATATTCGAGAAAGCCAAAGTTATATACAAAGCAATTGTTAAGCTAGCAATGCTATATAGAGTACAGATATAGACAGCCTAGGAGAAAACACTAAAGAGGATTAAGCAACTAGTTAGTAGGTCCTAAACCTAAAGCCTAAAGAAAATCCTAGGAGTATATAAAACTATACTAACAAGGGTAGTAGAAATGGAATTAGGGATCCTACTAGTTAAACAATACTTTAAGGGGCTAAGACACTAATATATAGCAAAGACAATAGAATACCTAGCCTAATAGACTATCTAAAAGGCACTAGACAAGATAAAAGCCTAGTATATTAGGACTAGGAGGCGAGATAGACTACAAATAACTCCCTAAAAAGTCAAAGACCTAGAGCAATATAGAGTCTTAATAAGAGAAATGCTAGAGAAAGAGCTTTAGGGACCAAATATAAGGCTAAAGGAAGACAGGCTAAAGAGAGAGAAACAAAGCCTAGTAGAATCAATTGCTAGATACCTATAGGAGCAGGAATAGAACAAAACATAAGTTAGACTAGGAACCCTAAAGGCACTAATCAAATTTGGTTAATACAACTACTAGCTCTATAAGGACCTAAATAGGGCCGAGGTAAGCCTAGCTATCCAAATTAGATCTAAACACATTAGACTTAGATCTTACCTGTTTAGAAGAAACGTCCTAGGAATTGAAAGCAGAGCTTACTAATATAGCTACCAATCTTAGAACCCTAAGCATATACTACTAGTCTGCCCTTAATAGTTAGAAGGCAGAAGTAATTAGAGACTAAAAGCAATAGAAAGGGAATACGACAAACTAATCTAGAGCAAAGAAGACCTAAAGAGGATAGTAAAGTGGATTATTAAATAGGGATTTGTACAACAATTCGCACTAGTAAGGGAAACTAAGGAGTAGATAAGAAGGAGGGAAGAAGAGGGGGAAAGAAGGGTAGGGTAGCAGG